CTACCCTTCAGGGCGAGAGTGATGTCGCGCCGCCGCCATAGGTGGCGAAGGTTAGCAAAAGCACTCCGAGCTTTCGCTATACGGTTCGTGATCTCGTCTTCGATCCCAAGGGCGCTGATACAACTTCCAGGTAATTGAATTTCTGAACGACTTCTAGCTGATCCCCACCAAGGGTCAGCGCAGGAGGCGATCCCTGCCAATCTTGGAGGAACGCTTTGCACTTCGATGGTGCAAAGCAAAGCCCGAAGCGGCTGACAGCCAGTGCTAATCTGTCCAGCGCGGCTTGGCACGTCTGGGAGCTGTCACAGATGAGGGCAATGTCGTCTGCATACTCCAAGTCAAGAAGTCGTTCTCCTGGGAGTAGCTCCACACCTTCCAAGTCATGTCCTGTAAATGCAAACTCCATGACTTCGTCAATAGCGAAGTTGAAGAGGAAAGGTGACAGCGGGCATCCTTGTCTCACACCGCTGGAGATATTAAAGGGTGGCGACAGCTTGCCGTAAGCCCTCACTCTGCCCGTGCTACGCAAATATAATGCTTGGATAATATTTACATATTTCTCGGGCACACCTTTCCTGAGTAAACAATTCCAAAGGGCACATCGATCAACCGAATCGAAGGCACCTTTGATGTCGAGGAACACGACAACGGTGGGCCGCCAATATGTGTGGCGGTGCTCCAACAACTGACGCAAGGTGAAGATGTGGTCGATGCAGCCACGACCCGACGAAACCCGGCTTGCTCCTCACGAATCTGGCTTTCACGAGCGCCAGTCAGTCTGTGAAGAATTATGGAGGCGAGTAATTTGGAGGCGATGGAGATCAGACTGATTCCTCTATGGTTGCCGCATTCCGAGCGCGAGCCGCCTTTGAAGATGGGAACAATAACGGAGCGGCTCCAGTCGGTTGGGACAGTCTCCTGCTCCCACAGTTTCACTAGTAATTCATGTAAAGCATCAACAAGAGCAGAGCCTCCGAATTTGAAGAGGGCTGGAGGAAGATCATCTGGTCCCGCGGCTTTGTTCAACTTCAACAGTCCGATCTCACGTTCGACTTCTGAGCGAGAGGGTGGATCCAAAGGGACAGCCCACGGAGCAGGGCGGTCAGTGACCGGCGAATTGAGAACAATTCTAGCCGATTAAATTGCTTTTCAAAATGCTCAGCCCAACGCTCCAAACGTTTTGACAAATTGTGAATAGGCTATCCACTCTCATCACAAATCGTTTCACTAACACCAGGCCTCCTACTGCCCGTTTCCCGTATCAGACGGAATAACTTACGATGGTTGCCAAGGGCAGTGGCCACTTCCATCTCTGACGCACGATGAGACCACCAAGATTCGCGGTCTCTCTTCAGGCTAGCGCGGAGTTTTGCCTGGAGCACTTTGCGAGTTTTATTGTGCTCGCTTCCAGCCGGGATATGCCGGCGAGCGTCGATAAGTTCCAGAGACTGAGAAGAGACCCAATGTCCATGTTGGCTTTTAGACATACCACATGAGGATTTGCCTGCTGCTAGTAAGGTCTGACGAACATGTGACCAGTGACCACCAATTGTCTCCAGCGGGCGATTGCTCAACTCGCATGTCAGCGTACTTTGATACGCATTCAGAACAGCTGAATTTGTCAGCTGGCTGGTGTCAATGCGCTCACAGCGTCGTCGTGGGCGTCCGCCAAAGCGCATCCGCACGTCAGCACATCCAAGTGCATGATCGGTGTCCACACATGTGCTCCAAACCGAGCGACAATTCTGGATGCAGCCTCTCCAGCGATAACTAATAGCAATGTGATCGATCTGCGTCCAAGGCTGGTTCGAGGCTAGTGGGCGTCAAGTCACCCTCCGGCGGGTGCTGTGTCGGAAATTAGTGCTCGCAAGAAATAAGCAAGCATCTCCACACAAATGAAGTAACCGCTCACCGTTATCATTACGGGAGCCTACACCGTGCTGACCGCCCAGATGCATTTCATCAGTGGACAACTTTCCAACTTGTGCGTTCATATCCCCCGCCAGCACAACAGTGTCCGTGCTTCTTCTGTGGCGAAGGAGCTGAGTCAGTTGGCGGTAGAAGTCGTTCTTTACCGAATCATCGCTACAGTTTGTGGGCGCGTAGGCAGCGATGATGAATAGACACCTATTAGTCCCGCGCGACTTCGAAGCTTTAAACGAGCCAGCCAATCGGACCGCACACATCCGGCTACTGATTGGAATCCAATCAACCAGAGCAGCTTCAGCCCGGGGACTCAGGGCAATGCCAACACCAGCTTGGCCGGTGCTCGAAGCTGCATCGTCACCGGATAGGCGCACTGAGAAAATACTGCTTGCGTCACCTGAAGGGGATCGCAGAGTGAGCACAGAGCTCGAGTCTTGCAGGCGGGTCTCTGATAAGCAGCAGATATCGATCGAGAGGGTCTCCAATGTTCGGGCAAGTGCTGCCTGTTGACCGATCTGTAGTAGTGTGCGTACATTGGGGCATGCCAATCTGAAGGAGGATCGAGGGCTCCAAATGGAAGCCGATGAACTGGAATGGACCGCTTGGTTGGACATGGGCTTGTCGACAGGAGAGGAGTGACGCTCCGCGTTCACATGTGAGTTGAAATTAGAAGATAAATGCCTAGCAAAGCATGTTGGGGGGAGGGCCAAGAATCGGGGAGTTGAAAACTGGGGGATATAAGTGAAGTTGGAAGGGGACGTTAAGAGTGAAAAAGCGTAAGCTGGGGAATAAGAAGACGGGAATGCTTGAGCAGTAGCATCCAAACCCCTATCCACCCTGCTCGATGCAGCAGATAGGGCACCGTTGATTATCCTCTGTGGTGGCCAGAGCATCAGCAGTTTGTTTGAGATAATATACATGGTATGGCGTGGGCAGTATACTGTCAGGTTGCCCAGGCCTAGACAGGAGAACGATTAGGGTTCTCAACCAAAGCCTTTGGTTCAAAAAACCTGACCGCAAGGCAGCGGGTTTGGCGTTGGGCTACAAGGAGTCCAGTTTTAAGGAATAAGGAGCCACCCTCATTCCAACCCCCAACCTGGAGGACCAGGAGGCTGAGTTTGTCTGGCCTCTAACCATTGACCAATCTGGTATGAGTGACTCTGAAGGTGCAAAAGCACCACCCAGCATAGCTCAATGGATCGTTGAGGCACACAAACCATCGCACCACGGTAAGGTCCAGCCTCATTGCTCGTGTCGATCAAGATATATAGGAAGAACTACCAGGAGACTGTCCGAGAGAGCCAGGGAACACTGTCCAGCTTGGCTGTATAGCGGCGTGACTAAATCAGGGGCAAGCGCAGTGTCTACAAATCTGATCGACTCGAATCACCAGGTCAGAGCGCACGAGGCGTTCCAGCCCATCTACTGCGTACTCAGATGTCACACAAGCGCGGTTAGATGTCGTCTACTTGCAGTGGCCGAGGCAATAGCCATCAGGCTTCATGACCCTAACCTGTGTGCGCACCAGAAATTTGTCCAGACACTAAGTCTACCCTGGTCACCTGTAACACGGACACAGTGTGGGAAACGGCACACACACACTCTTGATCGCCGTGGGGCCCAATCACCTAGCTTGGTCGCTTAGACCATCTGGGTTTCGGATCTGTACCCTTATCTGATGTTTACGTTCATGTTATACATTTGTGGTGTATTAGTCTGATGAGGAACCACTGAAAACGGGCTTGTTCGCTAACATTTTTCTGATGTCAACTTCCGGGATATTTTGCCTTCTTTTAACTTGCACACCACGCTTAAGCTGATTGTATTTAACTTCGATAACATTTTCGCCTTTGTGGGATTTTCTTAAAATATAATTTTTAACATCCTGAACCTATCGCGGATCTGTTGGCAACCAGTTTATTTCATGTGCTCATTTATTAATGAGTTAATTCAGTATACCTTTATGCATTATTAGAGTTATTTTATTTGGTATCGTCGTCTCAAGTGATTAGCTGTTGCTTGACATCCCCGGTGTGGTTGCGCTGGGTGGGCGCGTCGACAAGGAGCCTACCTGTTTATTTCCCACTACCTCCTCCATACTGGCTCCAGGAGACAGTTAGTCGTTGCTGGAGGGGACGGGGTGCACGGTCCTCGTGGCCCTGCTAGGCTCGAAGAGTGGTTCCATGCACTTAGTGCGGACTACGGTCCAGCCACCGCTTTGTGTTAGATTGATTCCCAAATACAGCGTGCTTGTGTTTGCCTGTGTAGGAGTGCGGACCGGCTCCGTTGATGAAACGTGGCTCCCATCCACGTGCCTCCCGAGCTTAATCCTTCGTATTTACACTGGATATGGGGTGCGTGGTTGGAGCTGTGGGTGGTGCAGCGCAAGCCACCCATGGTCCCTCTGTAGGCGCAGGCATCCTGTGGCTGGCCACAGTGACAGGCAAATCCAAAACCGGATGCCGCCAACCATATATCTTAGATAATATATTATCTGTCTAATATTATTAGTTATATTACTTAAAATTAAAACTAAAATCCTCCTACTCATAAAGTATGTTTCCAGCTGAGTCAATTGTGACTACTTTCAGCGCCCCTCATGTAATGCTGCCACGTATAACATGCCTGCGGATAGGCGGGTGACCCGCCACGGTTCAGCGATTGGTGTAGACAGCCCATTTGCTGGGATGCTGTCCCATCCATCTACGTAGTTTCACGGTTGCCTACATTCCCAACCATTAAAGCCAATCAGGCCGGTTTTGGTTCCACAGTAGAAGTATTTCATTATCATAGCTGATAAGAGCATGATATGGTTTGTGTAGGACGAGTCCGCGTTGTATTGGATACTTCGGGTTTAGCCAAGAGAAATCCAATAGTATACCGTGCTCATAATAAAGCGTTTAACCATCCGGAGATGCGCATTTAGAACAGCGGCGCCGTAGTATTTCACAAAATGATAGGAACCCGTAATGCAACATTCCGTCTAAGTTTCGAGCTATTTGGTACGTGGCACATAGCGTTAAACAAACGAGTTATCAAAGGAGCAATATAGACAGCTTGTGAAGCAATCCCACCTTTGAAATCAAAGACAAAACCTCGATCTTTTTCATCGGCATCCTGTGTAGACTGTTGAGTATCCTGTTCTTCGTCGCGTTTAACGCAGAATGGTGCGGCGATTGACAAAGGGCACTTTCTATGGTGCTGTAATTGCCACAATAAGCCACGAACATTTGCTTCGGAAGTCACATTAGCCCCGTATACGCTCTTTCCATTTACTTGGCGACGTAGTTCCGGAAGTTTACTGGTGTCAATACCAAACGTGATGAAGGGGGAGGTCGTCAAATCTCCCCAGTATCCCCAGTACACAAGCGGTTCACCTGATGGGGTCTTAAAAGATTTTCCAGAGGCCAAACTGCGGTTGGACACGATGTAATCTGCTTTGCGCAATTCAAAAGCAATCCCAATTCGACGCCATTTGGAGTATTCTCCTGAATCAATTTGATTCGCCTGGAAAACACAAGCAACCAATTCATTCACCTGAATCGAAGAGACAAACCTATTTGATATAAATCAAGTAGAGAGGTCCACTCGCCAAAAGTTGTTGCAGTGAACGAATTTCCAGCCAGATAGTAGAGATACTCGACCTTTTCAATATCTACAGCAATGCAGTCGAATCATTGGCACACGTTTGCTACCGACGCGTTTCGTGTTTCCGTGGAGCCTTAAGGGAAGACAAAACCCAGCGCAGTTACCAAAGTCCTATGTACACATACCCGAAGACCGCTGATCAGTTTGTCCTTACACATGCTCGGTGAATGGAAGCAAGTAAATGAACACAGATAGTGACACAGATAGTAATACTAGCAGCCTTTCAAAGTGGCTGAATGTTTCCTATGCTAAGAGCACCGGAGTAGTTCGGCACCAGGCAATGAACACTATTCGGCTTCATAGTGTTGATACAAGCAAATCCTGTACTATGGTGCAATTCAAACCGATTTTGACAAACCCAACATAAGAAGCGCAACTCACTGATCACTGACAAAATGTGTTTATACCAGATAACGGATATTTGACAGAAAAGTTGTGTGTTATCGATGAGGGCTGAAAGTTGTGGCACGACTACTTAGTTGTGCAATGATGACTTAAAAGATAAAGACGTACATAACTATTCCTTAGGAAGAATATATAACTCAGAAGATGCAGAAAAGGGGCATGTCGACGAACCTCAAAAGGATATCTGATCGAGTCTGTGTTCCAGGTAGTAGTTTGTATGTTTCCGCAAGTCAAAAGCAAACACTGGTGTATGGAAAATTGCTGGACAAGCAAGGTAAACCAAACGAATAAGCTGTATCCCCTCTAAGCCGCAAAAATGTGCCTGTGGCAAATTTCATTGGTAACACTAACTAACAGCCAGTCAGGATGAGACACAGTCGGGAAGGTTGGATACATACGTAAAGCCAAGAACCGTAGAAGGTGACATGGATTGCTAGTTTTACCTAGTACCATTACTTGTAGTGAATAGGACTACTGGTAACTCTGTACTGAAGACGTTACCTCACTTGTTAATGAGTACCCCGCCACCAAGTGTCAGCCTTGCTTAATGGTTCGAAACCTGAAGAACCCACTCGTGTTTCCAGTAGCTCGAATGCGTTTGCTTCGCTCTGGTTTGGTATTACTTAGTAAAGCTTCCAGGTTAACATACTTGGATGACATCACTAATTGAAATACAGTTGCCACAGTAGGTGAACCGTTTGAGTGTCCGGCCTTAGGACAGTCGGTCACACAAGCGAAGTAGGTGTAGATCATACCTGACGATCGTGGAGGGTGATGCTGCAATCCCAGTCAAACACATTGGGTATTGCGTCGTACCGTGTGCCGAGGTGCTTTCGAAGACGACTGTCCCTGAATTAGCAAAAGAATAACGGGAAGAACATTTAAGAACAACAGACGTAAAAAAGCCATAGTTGTAGCGCCCCGAAAGATGACTAATATTTTTTATATGCAATTTCACTGGTGACCAACTGTACACTATTCTTTCTCGTTTAAATCTCCTTTACATTACGTCCATGTTGACCTACATCCGGCTCAACACTTGACCGTCTTGTAAGTGTCTGTGATCACGTGTTGCTCTTGTCTCGTTTCATCCGTCCGCGTCTTCTTGTAGCCCATCGAATACAGTCCGCTGTGTCCGACTCCAATTGCTTTCTGACATCCCCGCTTAATTTTGCGCATCGTCTCGGACTAGTAGTAACTAGTCCTACAGGAGATGATTGAATGCACAATTTAGGCAAACGAATGTTTTCTATTTAATCCACATCTAGTGCACCAAAATGGCACCATACTGGTTCTGAAAAGTTTCTCTGCGTGTGAATTAATTGCGGACTGAGGATTAGTTGGATTGCGTGACAGTTTTAAATGTGTTTTACTGGAGAAACGTAGGGCTATTTGTTAGTGGATTGGAACCTTTTTTTACATATTTGGGCTGATTGGAGTGGATGTAAACACAGTGCATTACCAACTGTAAAACGCAGCAATCAGTTGCTTCACCGAAGTCGGATTAAATAAGGATTTCGCTTGTCTGCCGTCATAGATGGAAGCCAGAAACAAGGGTAGTATGTCCTCTGAGTAACGAGATATGAACCACCAAGCATACCTGTAGGCATGTGATACCATCCCGATAAAATAGCGATACAAAATTCCAGGAGGTGATAATACCTACCAGCATTTGCTTATGTCAAACGCTTTAGAATCTTTGTCGCGCCAAAACTTGAATATGGATTCCAGAACGTCCCGTTCTTTAAACTTCATTGCCGAAAGATCGAAGAAAGGGGAGTATTGTGTGTCACAATCATAGCTGGTGCAAATTCTAAAGTTGCATATTGTATCATGAGAAAGTAGATACTACCTGATAAACTCTTGCGCTGCACAGCGGAGGTATGTAGCTGTGTATTCGCGAATCAAAGTGTTTCCGAACAACTCGAGGAATAACTCTGTCTTGTCTAGTGCGGGTGCATAGAGGCCATGCTGTTCACATACCTTGGAGGTTAAATCTATGATAGTGCTCAAAAGCGATATACAATTGGAGAATATATCTGGCGTAAATTTCCAGTGAAGAATCGACAACAAAGAACTAAAAGTGGAATGAGTCCTCTACAGTAAACCAACATTAAAATGCGGTCGTTGAAACTCAGAAGGATCGGAAATGGTTCGAAGTAAGTGTCTGCTGTCGCTGCTACCAACTAGCAGAATGTTCATAGAGTCTTAAGATCATGAGTTTGCACTAAGTGGAGCTTACCGGCAGCATGGTCTTGAAAAAACATTTCGTAATATTCACGGAGATTTATCGCAGGGGTGAAGCCCCAGAATGCTGTGCTTCCCAGTCCTTCTGCCTTTGTGTTTCCGAGCATATTTTACTCCAAGCGAAAAGGTGTGCACAGTGTTTTGTGTCTGCAATAAGATGTGTTAGTCGAAATGCGTTGTAACTCGTCTCGCATCCCGGCATGCGAGTAACTGTGAAGTTTAGATCCGAACGCTTTTTATGACCAAACATAAACAAAGACATCCGCACAAATACTTTTTACCATGTCAACGTTCGAAAGCCATTCGGCATACCCACATGCACATTGGCACTTTCGGAAAAGCAGATAGCAGACTCAACCAGATCCACATAGATATCATCGGACCCGGACCATATTCCAGTGGTAATTCGTACATCCTGCCATGCATCGATCGTTTTGATGGCCCGAAGCCATTCTCATTGTAAACACATGCAGAAACCATCGCCCGTGCAATTGTCACTAGGTGAATAGCCATTGTTGATGTTCCTCCCTACATCACCACTGACTAGGGTTCCCAATTCGGATAACAGCTTTTCCAACAGCTGACGAAACTATTGGGCTGCAAAAGGATTTGCACCATAGCTTATCATCTTCAAGCGAAGATTTTAGTCGAACGTTTCCATCGACACTTAAAAACCGCGATCAAAGCACATTCTAATTCGACTCACTGGACAGACATGCTTCCGATGATTTGGCTTCACTTGCAGTTAGGATTGCCACTTCAATATTAGCCTGCAGAACTGGTTTACACAACCCTGGTCACACGTTCATCCCAGTACTCAACAGTAATACTGACCCATTGACTTATGTTAGTAAGTTGAGTCAACTTCATCATTGCGCAACCACGAGTACAGTGAGATCATGCGTTCATCCTAATGGCTTTTCGTACACTCATGTTTTCATTCGCAATGACCTCGTGAAACCATCTTTACAACCGCCATACGAGGGTCCCATTCTTGTCTTTAGACGTCATGCTGAATATTTTACTATACAGCCACACAATAGAACGGACACTGTTAGAATTGACTGCCTGGAACCTGCTTATAAATAAATAAATAAGTGATTTCTTCTCGACGGTGTGAGACAGGCCTTTAAAGGCACGATCACGGTAATAGAAACGTGTAACATCAGTAATGGTTCATAAACATTACAATTTAACCAGTACATACCGGATATATATGTGTATGTATGTGTAGTATGTATGTGGGTGCATGTGTAAGTAATCGTGATGTGTGAACTTGTTAGTATTACTGTGAATTGGTTTGTTCGGTGCAAGTGCCAATATAGGAAGGGGTCAGATGAAATATTTGAAGTGGCTGTCGTTCGCGAAACGTGTAAGATCCTCCGGTATGGCAAGGCAGGGACTTTATTTAGTGGCGAGTTACATCCGCCACGTCACAGTATTGTTAAGCAGACATTTGTGGCACTTTATAGGGAGAACGTTTGCCAGGCGAAAACCTACCACCTCCTGGAATACTGCCGCCGAACTATTAGCTGGACCGGAATTAACCCGAACCACCCAGCTGGCATCACGTGGAGGTTGTTCGGCTAGCCAGCCAGCAAGCAAATAACACCCTTACCGACATGAACAAAAGGCCATCGACGTAGAGGCGTAGCATAGAGGGGGCGGGAGGGGGGTCCGCCCCGGGCGGCACATTTTGTACCGTCGATTGTTCGATAGCAAATATATAGGGCAAAATAGCCGGATAAACTAGGGGTTAAAGATGTTAGTGATACTCTGTATGACCAACAACACAGTTGCGCCATGTGTCACACCTGTGCAAACGTTCTTTCTAGCAATCCCCTTACGTGTCCTATTGTGGTCACTTTCACCACATTTAGTGATCCAAACGATCATCCAGTTGATCGAAAACTAATGTGCACCTGACCTTGAGCCGATTGTGTGAGCTTCACGCATCTATGCTGCCCTCAGTCATTGTGAGAATTCCACCACCGCCCCGGGGCATCAAAAGCAGTTGCTACGCCACTGCATCGACGTCTTCGACGGCAGCTCCTCTAACTGGGACTTCTATCAAAGAAGCAATACGTGTCACTCGATTCGGACGACGTGCGTATTGGCCCGACCGATTTGGCGCCCACTGAAGCCACAGTCATTTTTCTTCCCCAACACATGCACTCACTTCATTAGGATAGTATGGTCAATTCCTTTTACAACGTCGCGAACGATTCACGTTTTTGGTACGGTACTTTTCATTTAACCTATATGGTAAAGAGTAAGTAACACGCCAGGTGATTCATGCGCAGACGTCAAAAAAGCATTTTACGTCTATTCATGTGCATGTTGCGTGCCAAAGCACGTGACAACCATGGGGTTTAAGAAAGTACTTTTCCTCACATCCATGCACAAAACACATAATTAGGTCGAATGAACATGCATCACATCCAAATGGACGACCGAACAACTGACGCACATGCATTCACCCACGTTCTCAGGGCTCACCGCAGCCGTCGTACGCAACCACATCGGATCCGACTTGGGTTCACAGCCATTAAGCAAGAACATGCGATAAGTCCTCTCTATTATGTATCATAATTACCTGTACAAAAGTATCATTGCTATTAGTGTCTAACCTGATTTTGAAACTAGTCTCGATTTAAGCGGCACTGAGAAGGTGAGGTCACCCTTGCATGTAAGAGCCTCTACGTGTATACAGCGAATGATCACATTTAGTTATTACAAAATATGAGGTAAAAGTAGAGCTGCCACTGTGTCTTTGCGTCGTCAAGCTAACATGCCGGACAAAAGCATTCGCGAGGACCCATTCCACCAGTCCCTTTTCCGAAGCACACATAGTGTTAGCAGCACTCTTTCAAAATCAAAGTTTGGTTCAATGCCGTTGCCTGCTCTAGCAAAGTACCAAGCTCATTATCTTCCATTCGGCTAGAGGAGGGGCTACGGTACACGGATAATTATCTCCAACTGCCTGTGTCAAGTCAGAACGCAAGAGACAACTAGAATATTCGATGTTGTCATAGAGAAGGGAACCTCCAAATATCCATATTGGTTCGTAATAAGCAAAAGCACACCACTAAGTTGCTCTCCTGGTCTATTCATTCTACGCTGGGAGCAATTACCTAGTAAGTCACTTACTGGATTACTCTGAGAAAGCCAGATATCAGTGGTTGTAATTGCGTCAGCAGGCTTACAGCTTAATAGCAATGCTTCCAGTTTCTTCTCTGTGCTGCAACAGTTGGCATACTAAACACATACCATACCGCACCCACAATCTCCTAGTGGTTTCTTCTTCTCTGCTACATTTGTTGTACCTTATTCCTTCAGGCGTAAAACCCGCTGAGGCAACCCGTATGGTGGAACCATTTTGGATCACTATCAGCTGCAACAACCGGAGTCCGGGAATCAGAAACGGTTTCTAGTAAACCACTGTAGGACAATTCGCGATTTTTCGACGTTGACCTGCTTTATTCTTTGACAAGGCAGTTAACCACTATAAGTTGATCAAGCCCAGCAACAATGCTCGTATGGCCACTCCGCGATTTTGTGTGGACGTGCTTGCTGCCATCCATTATGCACTTGCGTTTAGCCAACAAGGTGCTGTCTTTCATCAAGGATATCGAAGCTACCGCTGTTGAGGCTGTGACTTCAAGTGATTTTGATCGCTTACGCTTTGTCAAGAAACTGGAGCTCGTCACGTCCCTCGTAATTTCTGTCGATGACGGTGAAATCACCTCAACAGATAGCACCACACCCTCAGTACTCACACATGGACTATGATCCTTCCCACTTTAAGGCCCGGGCGATGTCACGATACAACTGTTAGGCCACAAGGTGGTCGTTATCGTGTCCCGTTGAAGTTGGTGTCCTTCAAGGCTTAAGCACACAGTGCTTTTGAACCAGAGGCCCGCGAGCTGACTAACCTTTCTGGTTCCCCGTCACAGCTACCGTGGGTAAGAATTTCGACAATTTGTGAAGCAGGCTAGATGATGATATCCAGAGTGTATCCAAAGCCACGATATCGACTCTGTATAATTTGATGGTACACCTGCTCAGATAAACAGTAGATGGCGGTAAACTGGATGTTAACTCAACCAAAATGCACTTTGTAAAACCCTTCTGCCGCAGCACTTCTGTTTCATTTCAATCGCCGACCCCGTGGACCCTTTCTGCATTCATGTGCAGAGGTATTACAATAATGCGAGGAATATCCTCTACACGCGTTTCATCCAAATCGCGTCTAACTTTAAGTTCACGTATTACTGACTCCTCGTGACTGTAGATAAGCACATTTTTTGACGGCGCATCGTAATTTTCGAGATACGCATATGGTACACGAAAGAGCCCAGATTTCGTCATTATGTATTTTTAAAGCGTCAATGAGTGATCTCTGATCTTGAAGTGACTTTTTGCCGCGTTAATCCTTCACAGTCTCAATAGACAGCAACATTAACACTTGGATTCATTTGTCAGGCACATAGTATACTTGAATAAGTGTCAGACAAACAAATACAAAGAAAACAAATTCCCTTCAATTAGGGAAAACGCGGCTACCAACGGATTGAATCCTCTGATAAGCCAGAACAGTTACTGTCAGATCAATGCGAGGACCTAACACATTGCATTCTGACTGTGACACTGCATTGTCACAGGCATCCTTTCCACATTTACAGATAACTTGAGAATTCATAGTGAATACGAATATGCGCAACAATAAAATGGTGGTGATCAATGGTGAAACCTGAAAAACAAGGGCGGCTGTAAAATGTTCGTTGGAGTGTTCTAAGTGACCGGTTTGATGCCCTTGGCCGTCTCATTTAGACACGTTTGGAACGAATTTCGGTCACTCAGAAGTGTTTTCCAAAGCACCCTTAACATATACCGGGAATGCATTTTTCTGGTTGTAAATATCTTTAGAAATAAACGGAAATTGATGTTAACTTGTAATTAAATCTGTAAAGCTAAGCGAACAATATTTTGAGTGACCGAAATTCGTCTCATATGTGTTCAACAGGGACGGCGACAGGCATAAAAGATTGTCACCCAAGGCGCTCAAATGGTCATTAGCGATGGTTGAAATTAGTATTTTCTTAAA